GGGAAAGTCAGACCTCGCGTTCGCGGGACAGCACTGGTGAAATCTTCCAACTGAACCATAGCTAAGGCTTATCCAAAAAAGTCGCTAGGTTTGTCAGTATGAATATTCTATAGAAAAAAACCGCTAAAAGGGTCTGAAAGTTGCTAAATCTAGTGCTAAAGTCACTCTCGTGTGTGTGAGACACGGGAGCTGATGGCAGGGGGCGGTGGATATTTGTGGCGGTCAATGTGGATATTGTGGATGAGTTCTTCTGTGTCATCACGTTCTATTAGTTCTACAGCTTCAGTTTCGGAACTTTCACGCTTAGTAACACATACAGCTGTTCCCTCACCACAGTGCAACAGTGAAAAGGGACCCCTTTCAAACAGTGTCGCGTTCCGAACGTTGTTTAAGCGACATGCGGTATTTTAAAAATTCATATCATAACAAAAATAAACACCGGTATTCGGTATGAACCGGTATACCACCCAGCACTACGTTACAGGCATCTTTAGAGAGGCTGAAATAGGTAATATGGCGACTTGTGCTAGAGATAAAAGCAGAAGTGTGTGATTTCTGCCTCACTAGCATCACCAAATGGAACTGAAATAATAATGAGAAAAAGAATGACTGTTTTCAAATAGGTTTCCCAAACACTGTAATTGGTTGGTTAAACTGATAGCCCCACCCACACTCATGCTATTGGTTGAGCCATTGTTGCTATGCTGGACTGAACAGGATGCTCAAACAAACAATGCTTTGAGTTTTACAGAGCCACAGTGTTTAAACTTTTAGGGGGAGAATCGGCCTACGAATGGCTCATTTTTTTCTGCGTGTTAAGCAGTGATAAGAATATTTTAACATAAAACTAACTTCAGTTTTCTTTGCCTTTTTAATTCAGCTGCTTGAAATGGTGCTTATTTCTACAGACCAGCTGCAGCCTGCTATATTTCTGTGTCAGTCACTTTAAACAGCACTTATCTAAAGTGACGCAAATAAACAAACTGACTCATGCTGTGCTGTAGAAAAGCCCACAACTATTGTTTCCACACTCACAATGCAGGTTTGCCAGAGGTAGCATGTAACCTCATCTTGCCAACTCTAATTTGCCCTTTATTGTGTTGTGATATTATTAAAACCTATTAGAGTTTGCCTGGAGATATGTTCACCTCGGCCTCTGTGGTGTCAGCTCTCCTCTTGCTCAAAAGAGTGTCGTTTAAAGCATCACAACTTCTGTCCATCCTGCATCCTGAAGCTAAATGCACCGACTTCTAAGCTGCCCTTCTCTTTGTGTAAGTGCGTGCGCAGTCTGCTCATCACGACTTCTCAAAGAGAGCCCGAAAAGGGCTGCGGATTTGTACTCGTTTAGAAAGAGCAGGTGATGGAGAGAGAAAGAGTGAGAGGGAGAAAGAAAATGCTCAATAGCACAGGCCTCTTTTATCTCTGGCAGAGGTCACACTATCAATGTCAGCCACAGAGATGGGAACTCAAAGGCCACTAGAGAGATAGAGAGAAAGAGAAAGAGGACAGTTTTTTCCCTCTTTGAGTGGATTGCAGACTGAGAGTGGGGAATGCTTTGATATCGTCCTCTTCACAGGCTGAATAGGGACCTTGGCTTTCATGCTCTGATCTTGACATTTAGTGAAAGCATTTGGAGAGCAACTGAGAGAGTGAGAAAAAAAACACCCCGCTCCTAAAGCTCACTGCCAGAGCTTGCCTCATATTTGCACATAACTGTTGTGAATTGCAGCCAAATGCCAGCTTATGAAAGCTCTAGAACTAAATTTGAGAGCAGTTTGCCCGGACTAGAGCGCAGATTTTAAAAGGATACACCTTAGACACATCGGAACTGGATTGATACTTTCACAAAGTCAGTGTTTGGGATGAACAGGCATATTTTCTTCTGAATAATTCTGTTAATCTGTATGAACAAATAAGTCAAGCCAACATTGATGCAATGTAATTTAAAGGGGTCATATGATGCGATTTCAAGTTTTCCTTTCTCTTTGGAGTGTTACAAGCTGTTCGTGAATAGATAAGATCCCTAAAGTTGCAAAGACATAAGTCTCAAACCCAAAGAGATATTCTTTATAAAAGTCAAGAGATATTCTTTATAAAAGTCAAGACTCCACGCCTACCTAAAATGCCTCATTCAAACATGTCCCCACATGTCTACGTCACGATGTGGGAAGAAAGAAGGCGTAACTTTTTTGTTGCTGCCACCGCCGCCGCCATGTTGTGAAGACGCTGTGTGTTTCGTTGCGAAAGCGAAAATACTTTGTTTGGCCTTCCAAAAGAGGACACGACTAGAAATCAGTGGTTAAGTTGTATTTACAACATTGTTCCAGAACAGTTCAACCCAAATATTCAGATGTGTGCAGCACATTTTATGGAGGACTGTTTCCTGATCCTGGGAGAGTAGACTACAATGCCGGCTGTTCTGACTCACAGACTGTAAGTACGTTTTTTTCATATTTAAAGATTTTGCCACTGATGATTCAAACGCGAGTTTTGAGCTGTGTAGAGTAGCGCTTGTTGTTTGTCATTTCTCCGATCACAAATGCAGACATGGTTTTATGCTTACGCGGCGCGATAAAATAAAAAGACAGTATAAGTCATTATAATCAGTAATTATGTCTCCACTGGATGCAACAAATGCCTCGTTTATAATGGGTTTGAATGTTTTTGTCTTGTCGCGCCGGGACATGGAATCACAATATGGTAAGGGGCGTAACATTTCCGTCACACGCTTGAGGTATTCGGCCAATCACAACGCACTGGATAGCTGGCCAATCAGAGCACACCTTGCTTTTCAGACCGATGAGCTTTGTAAAAATCGACGCGTTTCAGAAAGGCGGGGCATAGAGGAGCAACAATAATGTACAGTATGTGGAAAATTATGTGTTTTTTAACCTTAAGCCACATAAACACATTTCATTACACCAAATACACAAAGTAATGTTCTTTTTAGCAACATCATATGACCCCTTTAATAAATTAGTCAAACTAAGGCAATTGTTAATTTGTCTTACTTTAACCAACCAACAGTGGCATGTTTAGATAGCAGTGTAGAGAGCAGCATTTTGGTTATTCTCACACCACAAAACGGGAGGTTACAGTTTTGGTACAAAAACAGTTACTGGATCTTAAAAATTTGGATTGCACATGCTTATATTTCTATCATTTAATAAATCCCCCTAAACACAACATACACATGAAACAAGCAGTGTGGAGGAGTGTGGCTACTGCATTTATTACATATGTTTGCACCTGACCTGTTGCAACCAACAGGATGATATTTGTTGCATTACAAACGGCCCCCAAAACTGCATATTCAAAATGTTTAAGATTAGGAACACTCCTCATGTTTTAACAAATTGTGTAAAAAAAAATAAAAAAGTAAGAAATATTTTTAATAAAAAACGATTACATAGTTGAGAACTTTATGTGTAGGGTTTTGTACATGTATGATGAGTTGTGGAATTCATAAGCAAAGTGCTGAAAAACACAAATTTGGATGAAATGCCTATTTAATGCAGGCTCTGGTAATTGATGTTTTGTAAACATTTCTACAATATTTTGTAGATAAAAAATTATTATAAAGTTATGTACAATTTATTTTGACATTTTTATTTAATGCAATAAAATTATCAATTCTTTTTTAATCTTATTCATCTTAATTTCAACAGTTGTGTAAATTATTAAATTATTAGATTAATAAATATATAAATTACTTTTTCAATTGTTTTTTTTCATATGTTTCTTTTGCTCCAGAAATTAAATTACATTTACATTTTCACTGTTCCCCAGGGGGCTATATTAGAATGATCTCAGTCTAAAAACAGCTTGCCTTCATTTTGCCTTACTGAGATCTAAAGCTAGTGGAAGAGGAAAGAGAAGAGTAGCATGTAACAGTCTGAGTTGCGTGGCTAGAAGCAGCTCTCTGTGCAATGAAGGGAAGCTAATCTAATTTGAATTGAATTATAACATGTGCACTGGGGGTACACACACACAGTTAACAAGGGTTATTGGAGACTTGTGACAATGGGCAGGTGCCAGGCAGCCTGGATTATCAGCGTATGACAGGGGAGCAAATCTCAACTTTCAGATGTCACCTTGTTCAGCTGATCCAGGACCTGCTCTTCAAAGCTGGTGTCTGATGGTAGTTAGACGGAGGTATTAGTCAATCGGCTGATTGCAGAGCAGTGACGTGGGCTAGAGAGTAAGTGTAGCTTTGTGATGACGCTGTGGGTAATAATAGACCTGTTGTTATCGTCTAATGTTACAGTGCCAGTGTGTTCTTCTGTCAAATTCAATTATGGGATGTGAAATATTCATAATTGCTTTCACAAAAGCATTTGAATGAGGCACATTTATGGAAAAGCGGTGAGGTGAATCTGTTAACAATTATTCATATTCACATATTCTCACAAGATTTAGGCAGTTGAAGTGAAAAGAAACAGAATGATTATGAATTAACATGTTTTCTTTCTCTCTCTGTTTAATACTCTGACAGGCCTAACAGCTGCCACACTCGCTGAAGCCATGAAGAAGAAGATCAAATTGGAGGTGATGAATAGTTACCATGGCAATAATAACCACTGCACAGATTCTGAGAATGGTGACATCACCTCCAGCATGGGTAAGTGTCAGTTCCTCTCTTAAACTGAAGCTCATATGTCGAGCCATCCTAAATGCTCATGCCCTAAGAATCCTGGTCCAACACTAAACACTTTTTTTTAATATATCAGATATCTTCTGTTCATTACCCTGCTGTGTATTAGATCATTATTCAAACTTAAAGTAACAAAAAGATTCCGCTTGTTCACACCTTCCACTGAATACCTGAGGTGAAATTTTGAAGGATATTTTGGCTGCTTTTTCCACTATAATGAAAGTAAATAAGAACTGTGGCAGTAAAGACCCAACATGTAAAAAAAAAAAAAAAGCATCAGAAAAGGGGCTCATACAGTCAGAAGTCTTGAAATCTTCCCTGGCTCTCCGTGGTGCATTGATGATACACTGTAAAAAGTAGTAACCTGCAAGCTGCAAAAGAGCTATTTCTACTAGAGCTGTCGCGATAACTGCAATATCGCAATACGCTGTTGACGAGCAAACCGCATAGTAATGCAAGAACCGCAAGCAACCGCGATTTTTGCGTGCTTTCTTTTTTCATAGAGTTATGCCCTTCTCGTTTTACACTTTGTGCATGTGTACTGAATATTAAATAAGTTAGTAATGATAACATAATGTGTACCATGCTGATTTGTACTGAGGCTCCATAGATTTGCACCTAAACAGACAACGAATGAGAGAGAGATCAACTGAGCATGTGCGATTACTTGCGAGTCATATATATTTGTTAAAATAGGTTGTCATGTCCAAGGAAAGCCAAATCTCTGTCTTAGCATCGATGCATTGTCAGCCGAGCCTTCTAACGTGGCGCTCAAAGTTAAAATGATTTCAACAGCGTTTTTCATTTTGTCTGTCTTTGAATGAATCAGCGTTTTTGAACATGTAGTTGAATGAACGGTTTAAAGACTCACTCAAAGAAAGTCCTTTTCCCTTTTAGTCCCTTTTTTTTTGTGGCGCAACACTGTAACTGCACTGACTGACAGCCCGTCTAGAACACGCGCAGGTGGAAATATCAATAGAAAGTCTCTTGTCCAGTCGGATTCGAGGATCAGAACGAACTGTTATACATATAGGCTAACAATAGCCTAACAATCTTATTGTCAGGTGTATGTTCTGTTATGTGGATCGTTATTTTGTCATTCTCTTCTGTTTACTTCACTTCCTGTTTCAACGCTATTTGGTTTCGTTTTTTTTGGTTTCTGAATATGACCTCGTTATATCGTAGCACATACACACACAGATTATATATATGGCGATAATACCACATACCGCGTTATTGAGCCATTCAAAATTACCGCAAGGGAAATTCCTTCACCGCACAGCCCTAATTTCTACCAGATTTAACCCATAAGAATTAGTTTTGTTGACATAACTTTATATATATATACAGTATATATATATATATATTACATTTATTTTACATTTTAACTTTATTTTGATAAACTTGACACACAACATTAAGATTACATTAAATTAATTTTCGCTGTTATTAAAGCATGTATTTGTGAAGAAGAGCATGTTTTAATCCATAAATAGAGAATAATTATTAAAGAAACATGTTCAGGGTATCATTTAACTGTATAATAGTCAGGTCACAGTGTTTCTTTGTCTAAAACATGGGCTCAGCCCCTGATGTTGGTAGTCTAGTCACACGCCTCAGCTTTGTGAATCCTAATACATGTTCAGCATTTAGTATGTGTGATGATACTTTATGATGTCCTGTTGTTTTCTCTGGTGACCATCAACCTGCAGACTAAGACACAACCCCTTACACCTCTTATTTCTGTTTTTATCTGTTAAGTGCCTCATTGAAATGAGTTAAAACCAGATTTCTGATTTGCATTCACTAAACATTTTCCTTTTCCTTGCAATATGTGACAGAGTTAATTATATATTTTACTATGTGAAGGCATATTCATTGAAGTTGGATCTTATCAATGAATAGTTCACAAAACATTGTGAATGGTTTGTTTAAATCGGACTGACCTGGTTCTCAATTTTAACTTACTGGCTTAATGATCTAATCGCAATGGTTAACGACCGAAAAATTATCACACTACAACTATCGTATCCCTTACCAAGTATACTTCAAGTTTATTTTATTAAGTATACTTAAGTAAAGTTCAAGTATATTTTTAAGTATACTTTATGTAGTAAGTATACAAATATCAGTGTACTAATAGTATACTTGTAAGTGTACTATTTCAATACTCCTTGGGACTAAATTGGCCCACTTTCTAGTATATAAAAGTATACTTTTAAGTATACTTTAAGTATAACAGTAGTAAACTTTGAGTACACAACTAGTTTACATCTATGTTTTTAGTTTGTACTGCAACCAGTGTTGGGGGTAATTCATTACAAGTGCACACAAGTTTTAATTTACAAGAAAATATCTTTACTTATTTTAATAAGTTACTTTTTTAAATAAGTAACGCCAGTTACTTTGTTTTCCCATGTATTGACTGACAGCTTTCCTGTCCTCATGTTGAGAGAAATCAGGAGTGAGTGCAGAGGTGTTGTGTGCGCTGTGTGAACATGATGTTACTGTAGTTCTAGACTAAATTTACTCATCTCACTCACACAAAAAAGGATTCAGTATTCCTCAAAATGAATACAAATAGTCAAATGCAAACTCAGGACATGATGCAAACATGTTAAATAACACAAATATCCTTTATGTATTTGAATCCATTTTATTAACCAGTATCTTTGCTGCTGACCTTCGATGATCAACCATACTGATAAGCAAAAATGACTTCAGACGAACATGACATTTGTGTGGACATGATGCAAACATGTTAAATAACACAAATATCATTTATGTATTTAATTCCATTTTATTAACCAATGTATTTGCTGCTGACCTTTGATGATCAACCATAAGCAAAAATGACTTTAAATAAACATAACATTTGTGGGGGTTTTTTTGTTTGTTTCTGAAGAGAGAAAAATTAAGCCAAGGCAGATGAGAAAAAGTAACGCAAAAGTAATGTAACGCATTACTTTCCATAAAAAGTAACTAAGTAACGTGATTAGTTAGTAACGCAATATTGTAATTCATCACTTTTAAAAGTAACTTTCCCCAACACTGACTGCAAATATACTAAAAGTGAACTGATTGGTATACTGATAGATTACTGATTAAATACTTGTAGCATTTTAGTACACTTTAAAGTATAGTCTCAGTAAACTACTAGTTTAGTAGTAATGAAAGGCATGTGTAATTTCTGCACTACGAGAGGTACTAAACAGAATCACAGCCAGTGAAGTAGTCCGTCCAAAAAGTCATGCCATTGGTTGACCCTTTTTTGTGAGGTTCAAGACCAAGAGATCATTTTTTGGCTGGTTAGCATAGCCCTGCTAACCACTGCTTGTAGATGGATTTAAAATATAAATGTAGAGATTATAGGCCTACAACATGTTTACACACCCAAATCTTCTTCGGTACTTTTTTTATGAAAGAAGTAAGTATGTGAAGAAAAAGAAATCAATGTAAATTATTCCTGTGACCGCAAAGCTGAATTTTCAGCAGCCATTGCTCCAGTCCCCAGCCAGTGTCACACGATCCTTCATAAATCATTCTAATATGCTAATTTAGAGCACAAATAAAAAATTGTATCATTACAAATGAAAGCGGCTGTGCTGCTTTAAATAACTGTGGAAACTGATATACTTGAATAGAAGTCATCCTCCATACATCTCTAGTACTTCCCATTTCAAACTAACAATAACAGGTGTTAATAAAAATACACACAAGTGCAATATTTGTCTTAGTTTATTATTTATCGATTAATATACTGACTCACACTGACATTTCTCCCTAATATGTGTGCATTTTCAGTAAAATGACCATACACAGATTTTAATAGTCTTTGTGTTTGCGCTTTAATAATGTCTATGCGTTTTTGTGCATGTTTTTTTCCCACAGTCTCTCTCTCTATCTGTGTGTGTGTGTGTGTGTGTGTGTGTGTGTGTGTGTGTTTTGGATTACACGCAGCAGATGCCTGATGCTCATTGTAAACACAAGTAATCACAAGCAGCTGGTCAGGACGAATGCCTCTCTGAGTCTCTGTGTGGCTGTGGGTGGCAAAAGTGTGTGTCTGTGTGATGTTCTCTGTCTTGAGCACTCAATAATTCTGCTGCGTGTTCCTCTGACCAGACAAACAGTGGGAGTGTGGGAGAGCACTATAGTTCAACACACTGCATCTTAATACTTCCTTCTCCAATTTTGCTCCGAGCAAATCTTATATTCTGTATTAAGAATTAATTTTGAGCTCAATTTATTTCTTTTCTCATCCACAGATCATCTCATCTCTTGCAGCCAAAAACTGAAAATCACATCCTCACAGGTTCTTTTCATCTACGTTTCAAAATATCTGCGCCTTCATTAACTTTCCCTGAACGAGGCCCCCAAACCCTTCAAGGGCCTCACCACATAACCCCTTTTTCCATCTCTATTTTTTTATCCCTTTCTCTCCCCCGTTGCGGTTGTTGTTGCTTGTTTTGTGATCATTTCCATAAGGGAAGTAACTCAACAGTAAGCACATGGAGGCATCATTAATTTCATCTAAAGGAGAAACGAGACTTCCGGTTTTCCATAATCCCCTCCCCCACCTCCTGCTGACGGGAATGTGGAAATTACTCCATGGTGTCTAACCACTACAAAGACCAGAGCTAAACGCACAGACTAAACACCTAGACCACAGCTGTTTACTGGCAACCGCACCTTTGTCTGGGAAATAAAGCTTGTCTATCGCTACTGTTTTATATACGCCTGTCAGGCTGGAACACGTTAAATGCCTTTAATGGGGAAATTGAGAAAACAAAAAGTTTTATCGTAGGCTAAAAATTAATCAGAGATATTGTAGTGTGTGAGAAATCGAAGTATGTTGGGATCAGTGCTATACAAATGCTTCTCACATGTATGTGTCACAGATAGAGTCTCTTCCTTTCACACACTGCTGCCGGTGGTCTCTGTCTCAGGGGAGGTTGGCCTGAGGAAAAGAGAACTGCTGCATTACCTGCAGGGGGTTACAGCACATGACATGAGCAGAAACATTTATGACTGAGATTAAAGTAGCAATAAAGAGGAAAGAGTTTCCAGTAGCACTAGGAAAATCAGAAGCCTCATTTCTGTGTATAATCTAACTTTTGAAGTTGTTTTTTTTGTTGCATAGGCAAACTCACAAGAAAATGTAGATATTTATACAAATGTTGCTATTTCAGAAAAGGAGAGGATTTTCATTTTTCAAACAGTAGTCTAATTCTACTGATATACCAAAATGCCTTGGCATAGTTTGCCACTTTCCAAGAACAGAGTACAAAATAAAGCAGAATGAGTCACAAGGTTGCAAGTTATATCAGGATTGCAAATTTCAAATGGACTCAATTTGAGATTTGTTTGATAATTTTTCATACAAAAACTTGAGTCTCAGAGCTAATTTTTTTAAAATAAGGAATTCAGTCCACACAATAATTATGAACAATTTAAGAATATTAATAGAGATTAGTTACTGATCAAAATATGGGTGTCACAGTTTTAGGCAAGTTAAATTTTTTTGTGTTAGTGGAAATCATACCTCACTGGGTTACTGGGTTGGATAAAAAATGTGAGATTTTTAAAAATCTGACTTTTTTTTGTCATTCATTCATTTATTCATTTATTTTAATATTTAATAATTATTTATTTACTACAATATTTACTACAATACAGTGTCAAATTTGTGATATTTTTAAATCATTTGAATTATTAGATACAGTTGAAAAGGCACAAGACCGCACTCAGTCTCAAGTCCATTTTAAGTCTGAGTCTAAGACCATATTTTATATGACTAGTCAAGTCCAAGTCCAGGCCAAGTCCAAAATGCTCCTGGAAATATTGGCAAATACACTCACTTTTGATGTGGGACAGGCCATAATAACTCATTTAAGGACACCTTTGATGTGTTTAAAACTGGCTGTTTTCACTAGATTTTATTTCAGATAATAGTTTATCTAACTTATCTATTCTATCTCACAAAACAGTTAAAAAAAATAGTATTTTTCCCGCTAATGCTTTAAAAAAAAGTTCAGGAAACCAGAGTGTAGTATTTTTTAGTATTAGTATTTTTACTCTGCTGTAAAAGTACTTTTCAGGTGTGTGTACTTTATCAGAGTGTTTTTCTTTAGAAAACTTTACTTCACAGCATTCCAAAGCACAATATTGTACTTTTTACTGCACTACGTTTCATATTAAATATAATTTAATACTTAATTACATTAGTAATCTATTACTTTCTTACTTTTACTCAAGTAAAAGTAATTCAAAGATTTACTTGAGTACAAGAAAGTACTACATTTTTAATGTTCTTAAGTATTAAAGGTAAAACAACAACTTTTATTTATGAAATGAAGTGCGGTAAAAAGTATGACATTATGCTTTGGAATGTAGTGAAGTAAAGTTTTCCAAAGAAAAACACCCTGATAAACTACAGATACTTTTAAAATTTACTTGAGTAAAGTAAAAATACTTCACTACTGTCCACCTCTGTTCATGGACTGTGCCATAATCAAAGACATAAAGACATTGTTTGAACGCTACATTGAGGCTACATTGTATATTTTTTGTTGCTGTTTCTCAGTTGAACCCTTTCCAGGTGCTGTGTTGTTTTGTTGTTCTCCACACCATTTTACGCAACAGTTTAGTGCCCAAATTTGTACCAAGATCCCTGCTGTGTTTGGATTTATCCAGCCGAGTACTTGGCTCCTTCCCAGCCCTGTCATTAGACTTCTTTTGTTTCCTTTCCTCAGCGTTCGCTTGTTTTGTTTCTCCTTTTTTATTAAACGCTAAATATTTATACAATTTGCAACTTCCTGTCAAAATCATTTACACTCCCACAATAGCTCGGGCTCAAGTGCACAATGGCAACTGCTGTGGGGGGGATATTTTTAAATGGCGCTTTTCCAATTTCTTTTAGCCCTGGGCTCTTTTGTTTTAGGTAAATAAAGATTGAAAGCTCTTCGTGAGTGATATCGGCCACCATGTGTTTCAGAAACAGGCCTCAGTGGTACTGCGGCGTTATCAGACGCTAGCGGATCGCATTGTTATTCTTTTTGCAGCAGAAGCTGAGACGTAGGCCCCTTGAGATACGGATGAAGGGTGACGGATGTTGATGCATTTGGCTGAGTTCCAGTCTCATTCAAAAGTGTCTTTTTGGATGGGGAGGGGTTTAGTGTTTCCTTGCCACTTTGGCCCTTTCCTGAATGTGCTTAGAAGGCCAGATATTGCTCCTATCAGCATTTTCTAGCGTAATATGGCAGTTTAAATTCCACTTGAAAAGGCGAATGTGCGGATGGCATTGTCATTTTGACTTTAAGAATATTGGTGACGCCTAGCGAAGAAGACGGAGCAGCTTGCATGTTCTTGGCATGTGCTTGTGCTTGGCTCAGATCCCTTTTCCATCCATACATCAATCTCCTCAGCACTCAATGACTTTCTTTGATCTCCCTTTCACTTCCTTTCTGTCGCCTGATCACCGTGACTGATCTGCGTGTCATCTGTTTCATGAAAATCAGGGCCTTTTTTATTCTTTTTTTTAGTCTCGGACTAAAAATGTCATGACGAAAGGGAGGAGAACTTTCATTTGTAAGTCTCTATTGCAGAGAGGGGACCTCTGACCCCTAGAGCTGCCTGGTATTTGGTTGAAAAGCAGAGGGAGATGGAAGGTCTTGAAAACTATCGCCTCCAAAGGGCTCATCATCTCCTGGCCTTCCTTCTCATCATCACTCCGCTACTGCCGAGAGTATCAACTCTAGTGAATCCATTACCACAAGGCCAACACAGTTCAGGAGCATCTCTAGGCGACTGATGGGAAATGAAAAAGTCTTTGAGAGAAACTGTCAAAATGTCCTCTCTCTCTCTCTTTCATCCTTCGCTTTCAAAGTGGCGGTGGTGTACGGGCGGCCGCAGAGTGGCTGACTGTAACCTTACGCCCTGACCTGTTCAGTTGTTAGGGGATCCATTTCCTTTTTTCTGCTGTTATTCCTCTCTGGAGAATATCCGCTCACATTCCTATAAAGGATAACACTGTTAGAGTGCTGCAAGGGATTGGATCAGCACACTAAAACAAGCAAAACACCGGTCACACAGCAGGCGTATGTACTGCAGTCTTGCTGTCACATAGCTTGTTGTGCTACAAATAGAGTGTGTGGTTTAATTTATCATGGGGTTGTTATGTATGAAGACGTTTGCAGCAGTCTGAGAAGCAGCTAATTGCTTTGAGGTACAGACTCCAGCAGCTCTAGTTATACTCGTAGGCATGCTGTGCCATAATGGCACAGCTTTAAAGAGAGCTCTAACAAAGCAGAAACTGATGAAATTTCATAACGTGAAGCATCATAATTTGGAACTATTTACAAGATGTTTTCCCTTACAGTGTGATGAGTGTTTCTTAATATCCTCAGACTGTTGGTGCAGCATGTGTTATTTTAATGAGTTAGATTTTTTTTTTAAATGCTACATTTATTAGGGTTTCCTACAGTGCAATAAAGCTTTTATATAGAAACATGTATTAGATTACACAGTAGTTATGTGTGATTAATTAAGGTATAATTATTTTGTGTGTTTCAATGCTTTTTTGTACAGGTTTGGAACTTCCATTCATGATGATGCCACATCCCTTGATTCCAGTCAGTCTGCCTCCTGCCTCGGTCACCATGGCGATGAACCAGATGAACCACCTCAGCACTATTGCCAATATGGCAGCTGCTGCTCATGTCCAGAGTGCCCCGTCCAGAATGGTGACGTCAGTTATTAAGGTACAAGGAAACAAACTGTGCATACAGTTCTTAAGAAGATTTAAAGAGAAAATTTACCCAAGAATGAACATTCAGTCGTCAACTACATTAATTAGCTGCATATTGTTCATTTATTTACTTAATATCAACATGTATTAAAGGATTTTTGGATGGATATACATGTACATGACATATATGTGCAATTGTATTACTTCACATACATAAACATACATTTTTATATGGGCTAAATATATATATATATATATATATATATATGTTAATGTATGAAATTGTTCCAATATATGTTTTTACTTCATACTTCACACTATATTTCATACATGGAAATTTAATATATGCACATTTGCATGTGGGCATTGAAAGTTCATTCCACCAAATCCTTCAAGCTTCAAAAATTTCATAAAGACATCATAAAAGTAATCCATATGAATCAAGCTATTTAGTCCCAGTCTCCTGAAGAGAAATGATCCCTTCATATGATGAAGAGATTTAAATTAGGCGTTTACTCGCAAATAAACATTGATCAGCACACATATATAGAGCGCATAAAAGCTAACAAAGGCTCAAATGTGCTTGTGTGACACGCGAGAACAAAGCTCATTGGAAATAAACATTGTGTGCATCAATTTGTTTTGTGGAACATTTGTTTTTTCCATACAAGAACAACTCACAGTGACCATGGTGACAGAAATTTTATTTAGAGCATAGTGCACTAGTTGTGAAGACTACTTTTGATCAAAGATCAATGGAAAAATACTTTTTTTTTTTTTTTGTATTCCACATTCTGGTTTGGAATGAATAAATAATGACCGATTTTGGTAACACTTTACAATAAAGTTCCATTTGTTAACTATATTTAATGCATTACCTAACATTAATTAGGAATGGGATTTGTAACAATAGAACAAAACTATAACAATAGATTTGTTACCGTATTTATTCATCTTTGTTAACGTTACTTATTAAAAATACAACTGTTTGCTCAGGTCCATTATATAGCCTTAATATATAGGCTACAACTTTTGATTTGATTTAGTAAATGTTGGAATCAACATTAACTAAGATTATTACCTAAGATTATTAAATGCTTTAGACATATTTTTTCATTGTTAACTAATGTAATGCTAACAAATGGAAACTTATTGTAAAGTGTTACCCAGATTTGTTCATGTTTTGAGTGAACTATTCTTTATATTTATTCTTCATGCAGTGTACTATTTAGAACAATATTTAACTTTCACAACAGAGAAAGTTATTCTGCAATATTTTAGAATTTATTACAGTTTGATTAAAACTTTAACAGATTATGATGACTAATGTGTGTGTTCACTCTCAGGAGCGAGTTCCAGACAGCCCATCACCTGTACCCTCTTTGGATGGTGGCCGCAGGTCAGGGAGCCACTTATCCTCCAGACAGAACAGCAGCGTGTCCAGCTCTCCTGCCCACACAGAGAGCTCTTCTGACCGGCCACGTACGTCTGCTTGACCACATAAAAGTCTTGTCTTTTGTTTTATTCCTCAGTGTCTTATTACAAAGTCTACGTTGCATGTAATTTCAATATTTTATTTGACATCAGTGTCATGTTAGCTGTAATAATATGTATACTTTTACATTTTCATTTCTCTCTGTATCGTCTCTCATATGGCTGAAACCAAACTTACTATTTCAGCAGAGTTTGGTCCCTGAGCACTTAGCACTATGCTCTCATGATAATGTGAAACTACACATCTAACCTTACAAATGTGCTTTTAGAATTAAGAATAAGGTGATATCACAGAATCTACTAAAAGCAAAGCCATCAGAGCAGTTCATGTGCATTGCTTTAACCGGAACTAAAACTATGCAATTACAGATAATGCTCTCTACTTTTTTCAGTCTATTATCAGACACATTATAAATCTTACCCAAGATATCAGATACCAGTGGTATGATATAATTTGGGTTTTAAATCCTATTTTTGACAAAACTGAAGTTTAAATCTTGTAATAATTTTTAGGCTTTTTGAGATTGCTTCTATAATATTATCTACCTGTATTTTGTTAAAGAGATTTTAAAGCTGTCCCGCTTATTCCATGATCATTTGCCAAGTTATAGACAAGTTAAAACTAGTATTGCTCTTTGCAGCACAATATTTGACGAATGGGTAAAAATTATGTTACTTTCGTCAGTTACGGCACGTTAGCGCTAGCATTCTGCCCGCTTCAAATCCTACACAGAGATTAAATAGTGCGGTAAGACCACATTTATTTGAATTAATTATAGCATGTATTTCAATTAATTATCGATCAATCGTTTGAGAGAGAGCGAGAGAGAGAGATGACAGTTGTGTGTACCTGTGTGCTGCGTCTGCGCATCTCTCTGTATAAACAATTACTTCAACTACAGCGATTTTACCACCTCGTTGCTGGGGAATATAATGTAGCAATCTAGTATCTAGGCCATTTTATTAATGAAAATTAATAAGCGTTGACAACAAGTTTGTGTGTGTGTGCAGCGCAATCAGCAATCTCTGACCTCTCTCTCTCTCTCTCTCTCTCTCTCTCTCTTTCTCTCTCTCTCTCTGTGTGTGTGTGTGTGTGAGCGAGTGATGCGTGTTGGTTAGTGTGCATCAATTAAAGCAGCGCATTAATATAGAATGGTGATTAAACTGACTTGGGACTACCTGTGCATTAAACGGTTTTACGGCATACCTGCCAGCCAATCAGAATCCAGTATTCAGACAGACCATGGAATAACTTAATATAATGGAACATTGGGCTTCACAGGTCAGGCTTTTGTATCTGTGTCCTTTGTTTGTCAAATCTGTTTATATTCCCCTCCTTTCCCTTTAGATTTACATCAGAATGGTCTTTCTCTTTGCCACGCCTTGTTAGGCCTATCTCCAAGTGCACCACCAGGACCAAAAGAGGGGGATCTGGCAACCCATGACACAGGCCATGAAACAAAGAGGGTTTCCTCAGAAAAAGGTTAGATGCCAGTTATATTGCATTCTGTGTTGAAAAGCATTTGCAAGGGATTCTACTTCTAAATAAATCCTATTTCTAATATTCTTTTATTAAATGACGCCTTGAGATGTCAGAGTTTACAAACATTATCTTTTGTTGTAATAAATCAAACATTAACATGGCTTGTATAAGCTGTTTATTTTAAAAATAAAACTGATTCATATTTTACTGATTATACAGATAGTATGCATTAGAAAATAATTACTTAGGTGCCTTCTGTCTGAGACTGGTGAACAACCCAGGTTATAACAGTTTAAACAGTTCAGAAGTGCTTATTTCAGAAGCAAAAACAAGTTCATTACATTACTGTTCAACAAGGTTAAAAGGTTTAGCAATGACTGCACTTTTACTGTGTTCTTCTGTTATAAAAACACGTTTAGAATTACGTACCAGGAAAAAAATATCATGGAAAACGCAAGCATTTTTCCCAAACAGATTTAAAATTGTGTCTAATATTTTTTTCCTTTAGCTTAGCAGATCATTTATCAGAAGTGGTTTAGATTGACTGCAGGAAATGATTGCTGATTCTGCTGATGTGTCACCTAATACTCAGTTTATTTTATTTCTATTCATAGATCAGTCTTTATGTGTGTATTCTGAGAAATCAGTGAATACTCTCGCTCACAGTTCTGTGAAAATTATCCATAGAGGTAGAAATGGCACAGTAGTGGGGCTAAATTAGTTAGCGATTTGCAGAGCGTGAAGTAATGAGCAAGACCCCCCCTCCCAACCAACTCCCTTACCCTGGGCCTCCTGGAGGTGTAATTTTCCTAATAACCTCCCAGAACCCTTGTTTGGTTTTTGCGTTTGAAGGCTTTCATTAGGCTAATGAGGACTTTGCAAGGACGAGTAGTCAGCACAATTTCCTCATTGTGCCGTGGAGAGTAGACAGTGCACCCCAAATCAGAAAGGGGGGCTTTTGTGTGACTGAGCACAGCCTTTCGGGATTTGGCGAAATCCCAAGATCACACAGGTGCTAAAACCCCGCATAAAACAAAGGATTTGAACCACTGATGCCACTACATAAAAGGTGGTGGTGATGATGATGATGAAGAGATATATTATGACCAGGAAGGTTTATATATAATATCGTTCAAAATTTGGGGTTGGTAATTTTAGTTATTTATTTTTAAGAAATGAATGCAATTAATTTGATCAAAAGTGACAGTAAAAAAAAGATGTCTATTTCAAATAAATGCTGTTCTGTTTATCAAAGAAAGCTGAAAATCACCAAATCAGCATGGACCATGTGACACTGAAGACTGGATTAATGGCTGCTGAATATTCAGCTTTAGCCCAATTCAGAAGTTAACTGTTTCTCATGGGGACCTAAGCGATTTATAACATTTACAGGGGTTAGTCTGTGATTTTATTTCCGTCCGAATCCAGAATGCTGGTGTTTTTCTCCCACAACCCGTGTAAAAATCCCTGGCCGAATTTACGACAAGGTCAAGGTCGTGTGGTAATTTAATTGCTGTCCGAATCCACATCTCTGAGTTCACAAGAAGACATTGATTCAAAATCCAATGTTTAAATCCTTTTTGACCACTGCTGAACAATCTACGGTAACTGTTGCACTTCACTGTAATTTGTGTGCATATTTATTATGAAATGGTGAAATGCTGGAAAGTATTTACGAGAGCAATATTTCATAACTGCTCCACCACAGCGAGTGGGAGCTGTTAAGAACAAAAAGAAGAAAAGCATGTAAACATTTGAAATGGGTCACAGGAAATCACAGGAGTACATTACATGTAAAATGTATTCAGTCAGAAAACATTTACATTGTTGTAATATCTCACAGTATTACTGACTTTTACTATACTTTTGATCAAATAAATACAGCCTCGATGAGCAGAAGAGACTACTTATAGAAAACATGGAAAAATCATACTGATCCCAATGTCTTGAACTGTAGTGACCAGTGTAACTGGTGAAAGAAACCCATTAGCAGTGTTGGTCTCATCAACAAAATTACGTGATGGTAATGGTAGGTTTTGTTTTTTTGTTTTAATTTGGTAATGAGAAATGCGAATAATGATGCTAAATGAATTATTGTAATTAAGACATACTGATGAGGATAATATGACAAGAAAAAAATAACAGCATAAAAGATGCATTTACAATATTTTTTGAAGAAGAACATATTGACTAAATTGAAAATGAACACTACCCATCTGATTTTCTATTCATGTCAGTTGGTCAGCTGGAGCAGGACTTGACAAAAAATTTTGTTTAGTCTGAATTCACAGCTACTTCAGAAAGTCTGTCAATGGAGAAAGATGTTTTTTTTTTAGAATCAAATAGTGTTGTTATGGCTTCAACCAGCAGGGACTAATGGGTCAATGTTAACAAGTGAAATTGTGAACTCTTTACCATAACACATTAGATTTGGTCTGAAAGCGTAATGATAGCTTGGTCGTGTTATTAGGGAAATGGACTACATCGAAATGACATGATGTCATATTCGAGTGTGGAATTCATGTATAGGCCTTCACATGATATTCTTTATTTTTGTTAAAAAATTAATTTCACAAAAGGCTGCATACATTTGAAAAGTTAAGCTCACTATCATAAAAACTCCTGTCCTTTAACTAGTTTTGATTTTGAAGTTAGCCCCTTGGCACAATTCCAGGCCTGCTGAGCACTTGTGAAGTTTCGTCTCGAATTTTATGCATGCTGATTTTATGAAACTTCAAAAATCAATGGCTCTCCCTTTGTAGAGCGTCATTCTAGACTCTCAGTCACTGCCAGGACACCTTTACCAGTCACTAGACTGAAGGATAAATTTCACCTTCATGTTCCTGAAATTAATCTTTAGGGGCAGCGCTGAAAGTGTGAAGATCAGAAGTTGTATCTCTTCTTTATGGCTTGTCAAAGACAGAAGAGTTCAAAGACGAGTCCTTTATCCGCCTCCGAGCTTTTCAACCTTCATTCATTCTCCGCTCGCTCTCTTATGCTGACTGTGGAGGGCTTTAGCAGTGGACGCAGAAGTTCATTAGCCCAGGGAATCCAAAACAAGAGGGGAAAAAATTGACCTTGGTTGAGGAGATACATTTATGATCTAAAAGGCTGCCAGGATTTTTTGCTGGAAAGCAAGTGAACACATCCTAATAATTCAATGGAGGATCAATCAGATTTGAAGGCACAGAGAAGAGAAAAGAGAGTAGTGCTAACTCAGCACTGATTGTCCCTCCGGGGCACCGTAGTTCAGTGGCACGGCCCAAGCTTCCTCCCACTGAGTGCTCCGGCGGCCAACACTAATCACATTCCAGCAGACACCATGCTTTTAGGAACCCTAGAGAAGAGGAGAGGGAGGGATGAAGATGAGCAAAGAGAGGGAGATCGGCAGTGAGGGGAGTTGACAGTGAGCGAGAGCCAGCGGAAGCGGGAGCCCGATTGTTTTTCCTCTTTGAAACACCTTGAATGTGACAGTGGCATCTCTCTTCTGCCAAGATGTGAAGATCAGATAGTGTGAGATTAAGATGCTTTGGTCAGCTAAGTGAATCCACAGAGATAAGGGAGGGGTGAGTAAATCTAATCAGACCTTATCAGGCACAAGGGAAGGTGAGGTTTTGAGCACCTACTTGTTTAAATGGATCTTGAGGTATGTATATACTTAACAGTATACTGGGCAAAGAGCTGAGCAGAGCTTTTTAATGCATTTTTTAAAGTGAAGGACATTCAAGAGCAAAAATACAAGAGATGCTTTTGGTTTTTGTGGCTAAATGAAGAGAATGTATATAAAGAAATGGGACGTACAGAAAGAAATCGATACAGACAGAACTATAGACTGAATGAAAGACTGGAAAGAGAAAGGCAATGAGGTTGAGGATTCAGTTTTAGAAACTTCACCCCTATGTCATTCCAATCCTGTGACATACTGTCTTCAGTGGAACATAAATGGAGACATTTTCCATGCAGTTAAGAATGTGGATTGAAAAAAAAATCTTTGCATCACAGGAATAAAATACACTTTACAATATAGTTACTTAGAAAACAGTTATTTTAAATTATAAAAATATTTCACAATATTACTGTATTTTTAACTAAATAAATGCAGCCTTGATGAGCAGAAGAGACTTCTTTCAAACACATAAAAAAATCTTACAGGCACCAAAATTCTGAACTTTTCTGAACTGTATGCATTGAGTCTCTGGAATCCAAACAATAACTTTGTTTAAGGAACAGACCAAAGTTTAAACTGTTCTTTACTCAAAACGCATGACATGCAAGGAAAAATATAATGGCCATAAATGAATCATTTGTTCTTACGACTATTTATTAATTCAATTCTTCACTTTAGTTCAATTGTGGCAACATTGTACTAATTAATTCCATGGTTTTAGGTGAATCGTGCCCACATTGTACTAATTTGATTCACTCATTTTAATTCCGTTAAATTATTTTATTAGTAGACATTACAATATCATTATAATATAATACTAATAATCATTACAATATTAGTAGACTATAATGTGGCCATGATTTATATACAGTTTTTGTTTGTTTGTTTTCATTTGTTTTGGTGCAGTTTTCACATGAAATGTGTAGATTTTCAAAACTCAAGAATCCAAACTGTCCACACTTGTAACACTGCTAGTCAATCTTTTAAAACCAAACTTAAGTAATTGACATAAAATCCATACTGTTTCATCAAAAGGTATGATATGACAAGGCCATGAGGTTTTGTGCTAAAACAGAGTTTACTACCAATACAGTAAATGTGTTATTGTACCATATGAGTCTATACCGTAGTTTCACCTTTTCAGCGTGACAGTAATTTGCCAGTCTCTACCAGTCTTCAACATGCCCTCTGTTTACAGTCCCACATGGCATACTGTAATGTAAAATTCTGTATTTGATGCCATCCGTCTCCCTCCTTTGGATGTATCTCTGATCAATCTGACAGACACATATTTATTGATAGTTTCATCTCTCTTGTACCCTATCTTGCTCTATGCTTTATGTTCTCTCTCCTCTCTCTCTTGCACACACACACACACACAATTTGAATATTATGGTTATTATCGGATTTGCATTGCTTATACTGTAACAATAATTCATTATACTTACTGTAAGTAAAATGTTTACATAGATGACACTTATTTTGTGTTATGAAAAGCATAATGAAATGTTTTAATAAAATGCATTTTTGATGATTTGTTGTGACATTTGTACTGAGAGTTTTGAAAATGTACAACTTGCTTGTGAAAACAGCACCAAAATGAATGAATTAATAATAATTGTAAAATGAGGGAACACATTTTTAATTTGTGTCCACGATGTATGTTTTTATGTTGTGTGGGGCTCTGTATTTTTCAGTGACTATTCCTTTAAAGGGGTCCTATTATGCTCTTTTACAAAGTCTTGATTTTGTTTTGGGGGTGTACTAGAACAGGCTCTCATACTAGGTTGTTCGAAAAACACATTATTTTCCACATATTTTACATTATTACAACACCTCTCTCCCCAGTCTGGCATGAACGGCTCGAATAGTTCCTGTATCAAATGAAGTCCCGCCTTCTGAAATACGAAATGTGTTGTAATTGGCAGCACTCGGCGCCTGGTCGGGAAATGTCATGCCCCTTACCATAGCCGCATGCGAGCTTCAGTGTAAATATTGCATCAAAATCAAATCAATTTGAGCATGATTTAAACCCGGATGATTGTAACCACTCTAAGTTCATCTGCCTTGGGAAAGCTAGCGTGTCTCCGACATAGTGATAACACTCGGTGCCTTCTCTAGTGCAGCTCAACCAGGTCTCGTCCCATTCGTCAGTATTTGTGATATCACAAATCCCAGAAAATATGCGTTGTAGTCCAAACGAGTCGTTCGTTGTAGTTTTTGAAAAGTGATTTCTGTTAAATAAAATATCTCCTTTTGAACTGGACTTTGAGCTTTGTAACTTTGCAGATCATTTTTATGCTCAAACAGCAACATTACAGACTAACTAAAGTTGAAAAAGTGAAAAAACATAATAGGACCCCTTTAAAAAAAGGTGACATATTTTGCTTCTGAAATGCTGTTTCTGAGAAAAAAATTGTAATTGCTATTTAATCCCACTCAGTCAGGCCCATAAAGTCAGTTCACTTGATAATAATTAAAGGGACAATCCCTCTGGAGAAACCTGCAGTTAAGTGCTTTGCTCAAGGGAACAATGGCGAGAACATGCCTTGCTCCTTGTGGGGATCAAACCATCAACCTTTCAACCTGAGCTTTAACACTTACATCACACAATAACAAATGCATTAAACAAAAACTTTTAACATTGCAGTAGAGAATGTCCAGTTGACTATATGTAATCAATCTCCAGATGTAGTTAAACAACCCTAATAATTTTGACGTTTTTCTTTTGATGCAGACTTGTTACAGCAGTTCACTCATTTTGAACTTGCATGCCCTATCCTACAGTATATAATTGTAATGCCAATGCCATATGGCAGTACAGTATTATGCTAATAGATCAGCTGTGTTAGAACAGAAAGTCACCTTTCTCTGGCTTCCCTGCTGACATTTTTTATTAGCATACACAGGGCTGGTTATTACCACTACAGAACTATGGATAACTGTGTAAACCCCATGCTTTAATACAGCCTTACAAAATGAACAGAGCCCATCTGGTCTAACTGTGCAAATGTATTAAAACAGCTTTGATAGGTACAATAGGGGAGCCCTAGGCTAAAGAAATAGTCTATTAGTTTTTATTTCTTTTGCTGAAGAAATTTGCATAGGTGAAGATATAAAAAAAACTAAATCTTGACCAGCTTGTATATTTACATTAGTAACTTGCTGCACTGAAAAAAAATGTTACCTTAAAATGACATCTATGAACTGGTTTTATTCAGGTCAAATATAATTTATACCATAAAAGTGTTGTACTGTAGGGTACTTGTACTGTCTCTCAGGTGGGGGGCGCCATTCTTCACCCCCGCCCAGAGTTATGGAATCGGTGGGCATGGCCCCTGAGGGGGCACAGCTCCTAGCATCTGGTCTCTCAACTGAGGTTG